TGTCCTTTGATATCAAGTATACGTACGAACCCTCGTCATCAAAAGTCTAAAATTAAACCTTCTGTTGACTCGTGTTCATATATTTGATGTCAAAATACACGAGGGTGAGAGTTTTCACACATACATTGCGGTGAACAATGAGTTCTTATAATTATTACTGTCGAAATAATCTAGCTAAGTCATACATCCTTCTTGTGAAAATTAAGATTTAATGAAAAGTTAATTTAATACACCCAGGAAGTTTTAAACACGTATACAGGCATAAACATGTTCTTTTTATTCATTAAATTAGAGATGTCAAAATAAAATATGTCTTATATCATCGGCGACTACTTCTAAACTGTCGGGCAAAACTTGAAAATTGGATTTGACCACAAAAAGTCAAACGTTATCAAAACGTTACTACGGTGAAAACATTCGCTGAAACACCGCAAGTTCGTTGCCCATATGAAATACATCACCATCGAAGAACCATTTCGCGTTTGTTTCATTTCAGCCACCCACAAACACGGTTGTATACTTTCAATGACCCGGCAGTTTATTTTGTACGGTAATACTAAAACAAGCAACTGTCGAGACACAAAATATTAGGCCTATAGTGTGTATCTTCCAATACAGTATAATGTACAATATTTCAGTTGATTAACTTTAATACTTTATCGAAAACAACGTGTCCATCCTTCTGCTCGTCTAAACGGAAGGAAACTAATATATCTTGCTCGGGAGATCAAAGTGTACGACACGACGTATTTACTTCCGTGTTCGGGAGATTGACCCACTGTTGCCTAGATGATTCAGGTTCCCTTCAAATTTACATTGTGATACTCGAGCTACAGCAATTATCTCCCTTCGCTTGTTGTGTAGTGCTTCTCGATATTAATATCACAGGTTCATTGTAGCATTCAGAACCATTAATATAATAATACATTTACATGTGTACAACACAGGAATTCATTCAACGATTTGATTTTAGATAGAGTAACGCTAGAAAATTTTAACAGCAATGTAATTTATAAAATTCCTCACTCCGGAACAAGGGGATGTAGCTCAGTGGTAGAGCGTTCGCTTCGCATGTGAAAGGCCCCGGGTTCGATCCCCGGCATCTCCACCACTTTTTATTTTCAAAACATATAATTTATTTCATTGCATATGTGTACATACTCTCTTAACGAGTCAAAATTCCGAAAACAGAAATTGTTTAGAAAATACTTACTGAGTGACTGACTGACTGACATTATTTGAAGCTGCTGTGAATTGCATGATTTTCATTAATGATAATATTTGTAAAACATTTCAAGAAAGTTTTACAGACTCAAACTCTCAATTTATCATTCTTTTTTAGACATGTTCCCTTCTTGGTAGACCTTTTGAAATTCTTAAGTTTGAAACCAAAAGTTATTGACCAATGTTCATCATCCAAAACTGGCTCCCATAGGATATATGCTAGGGTGAGATCAAGCGATATCTACATGCATTTTTAGATATCCCTGCAATGAAATTGCATCACAATGTTTTGCAGGCCATCGTGACGCCATTGGTTACCATGACGTCACAATCAAATGACATCACTCATGGCTCTGCTTCTGAAGCTGTTAACAGTACCTTTTACACTTAAGACACTGTTTATTACTGTCTACAAACTGCAAAAGTTGGAAGAATGATGTTGGATGATAAATAAAATTTCACCCTCGTGTCTTTTGATATCAAATATATCAACACTCATTTTAAGTGGAAAATCACCTCAGCAAGCCTTGGTGTATTTCCACTTTTATCAACGAGTGTTGATATATTTGATATCAAAAGACACGAGGGTGAGATTCTCTATAAATACTACCCTAAAAGCAATAAGAATAAAAGTCCAAATGCACAAACCATAGTCATAATCGTTTCCTCTTCTTATATAAATTACTCACAATGAGAGCAAATGTTTTAAATAGAAAACTTCTTTTTCATCTAAATTTCTGTGACAATTTATCATGAATTCTTTGCTGTATCTTTTTTTTCACAGATTTGGAACAGTTCCTAATTTCAGTGTTGGGTCATCGTCAGGTTGGCGCCACTGTGTCAACAAACAGCAGTTTGAACCTCCCTAGATTACTATCGCATGCCAAATCATTCATATATAAACAAACTAGTTCAATGCTCAGATGTTTCAAATGATTCCTATTAGAATACATTATTTGAAATATACACACTAGTGTTGATGGTTTGACCGAGAATTTCAACATGTTGCTTTAATTAAACCACATGTGACGATTCTAGTCGTACTTTAAAAGGTTGCATTTCAAAGAGGCCTCTGTCACCAAGGAAAAACATGTCTTCCATATTTGACATGTTATAAACCTTCTAGCGCCTAACAAGCAGCTTGGATTGTATACTCCCCAGGGAGCTGAGAATGATTCTTGAGTGCACACTGATCTAGAGACCAGGGAAATAATTTCACTTTGAGCATGCCCCTGAGTGGTGTGGAAATATAAGCAATATAAATAATCTATTATTATTATTTATATACTTTTTTGTGTGTGTGTGGAGTTTTGGCCGTTTCTTCAGGGAAACAGAAAATGACTGTTCAGGCTAGCATGCAATGACTGTCAAATGATGTGACTCATTGACATCGTGACGTGTACGGCACAAACCATTATTACTTCCATATGTCTAAAACAGGAGAACCTGTGAAGATCCTGGTTAGAATTGATCTTCAGCATCCCATGCTTGCTGTAAGAGGCGACTAACGGGATCGGGTATTCAGGGTCGCTGACTTGGTTGATGCATGTCATCGTATCCCAATTGCGTGGATCGATGCTCATGATGTCAATCAGTGGATTGTTTGGTCCAGATTTGAATATTGTAGACCGCTATCATATAGCTGGAATATTGCTGAGTGACGCGTTAAACAAGAAACAAACAACAACAAAACAGAATGAATCACATAAAGTGTCCATCAATCATTCAGACAAAACTTGAGCCACCAAAATGTAAGGGTGTTTTAAGGCCCGTTCAAGGCAATGATCACACTCTTCACGGTTAACATGAAATTATAGTGTATTCAAGCAGATGCATTACCCGCAAAACATTCTTACTTTCTTTCATTGTCAGACTGGTAGGGCTGGGACGGGTAACTCGGGTACTTGCGTCGGGTGGGTACTGAGTAGGACCCGGGTACCCACAGGACTATCCGGACCCATCGTTAGTCACATGATTATATTGTTTAATGACAAAAATTATCTAGAACTCCATGGTTACACTACAAGTGACAAATGTTCACATTTCTTTCTGACTATGCACACATTCCTTCTGACTTTATATGTTTGCATAATGATAAAACTTTAGTCAACTACAGTATATGCACCCCAGTGTCTCAGTATTATTTATAGATCAATTTTCCAGCCATTCTTTTGCATCATGACATCACGCCATAATCACATGCGTTGAAGACAAAAGCCCATTAATATATTTATTTTTATGAATTGACATATTTGTCAAATTCAAGTTCATTTCAAGAAACTCTATCAAATGTTACGACATGTTGCAGGCAGATTCATATTCTTTTCAAGCCAGTGCAAACCTTGGCATCTAATGTATCACACAGTATCTACACGTATCATACAGCATTTACATTCATCACATTACAACAGCATGTTTCTTATTATAAACAGGGGGCACGGGGGGCCCAGTTGTGTAAGGCGCCGCGATTTGCCGTTCAGAGTTGCATTGGGCATGCCAGAAACCTATAATTGTGGGTTTGAATCCCGGTTCGCCCCGATTATGTTTCTAGGTTTGTCAGCACCATACCCGTTCTTGTGGGTTTCACCGAAGTGATAAACGTCTGAGACCTGCACCTCTTTCCTCCTACATTAAGCTGACACGCCGTGATATAACTGGAATACTGTTAAAAGAGGCGTTTAACCCAACTCACTCACTCAATTATTATAAACAAATTCACAACATACTAATGTCACCGCTTGATAGAAAATATGTTGTTTAAATATATTTGAGTTAGTATGTGTGTAATAACTTCATCTAAATAGTTTAAGAAATTAACCTTTGTAAATTATAATCAAACCACAGGCCTTCTGATCCGAAGTCAGACGCCTTGTCCACATGGCCAAAGACGTTAACCCCGTCACAAGGATGTCATCTATGGGATGACTTCTCGCCCTGCTACATAGGTAATGCATTCAATCAGTTATTATATGAATGATTAAGTTCATTTCATTGGTAGCACTTTATATCTGTCTAACAGAAAGATGTCCAAAGAGCTGACAAACGTTAAAATCTGGCTCATTGTGTCATTGTACCCCAAAGGTTTTGATCACTGCTCATGCTATCAACCACTGGGAAGCCTGATACTCAATGACTTACATGCTAGCTGGATCACTGCTCATGATATCAATCACTGGGTATCCTGAGACTCAATGACTTACAGGCCACTAGAGACAGCTGGATCACTGCTCATGCTATCAACCACTGGTTAGCCTGAGACTCAATGACTGACAGGCTAGCTGGATCACTGCTCATGCTATCAATCACTGGTTAGCCTGAGACTCAATGACTGACAGGCTAGCTGGATCACTGCTCATGCTATCAATCACTGGTTAGCCTGAGACTCAATGACTGACAGGCTAGCTGAATCACTGCTCATGCTATCAATCACTGGTTAGCCTGAGACTAAATGACTGACAGGCTAGCTGAATCACTGCTCATGCTATCAATCACTGGTTAGCCTGAGATTCAATGACTGACAGGCCACTAGAGACAGCTGGATCACTGCTCATGCTATCAATCACTGGGTAGCCTGTGACTCAATGACTTACAGGACAGAGACAGCTGGATGACTGCTCATGCTATCAACCACTGGTTAGCCTGAGACTCAATGACTTACAGGCTACTAGAGACACCTGGATCATTGCTGAATGCGGTGCATAACACCATTCACTCTCCACGGAGATCTCTAGCTATTGTACTGAGAGATAACTGCCATCACTTTACACAGAACCAAATAAAAAAATTTTCCGTTTATTTCAAACAAAGTTTTGTACATATCATTATGAACACACGCTACAAGCAATACTCAGATCAAACACACTCCAAGACAAAAAAATATCAACAATGCCCTGACATTGTTACTTGCATCTGAACATTACCATGAATTATTGACTCTGGGACTAGAGACAGGTTAGTTACAGTCAATTCTTTGCTTAATCAACAGCTGTAATCTAGCACTGACTACAGACACACACAGAACTACTGAGTACATCTACTGGATGTTCAAGGACATGTCGGCAAGGACAGCAAGGTAATAATACTTGAACGTGTCCTCAAACCTTAGTTTATGACTTTAGTTTAATGCTGCCTTAAACATTTTTGTTTTCAGCTATATCGCAGCCTGTCATCTTATTATGACAAGTGACAAGTCACGTCCAAACCTGTTCAGTATTTCATTTTCACAAATAAAAAAGCTGAATTAATCAACTTTCCAATTAGTGACCTTATCTAGATTAAAATGTCCTCAATCACTCATTTACAAGAACATTTACAAAGATTGGAGTAAATGGGTAACATTTATATGACCACCCACACCTATTAAAACATTCTTGTTCCCAAGTTCCCAATGTTACACGATACATTGTTCAAATACAGGCGTCTTATATATCAGTCTCTCAAAGCCTAATCTACTCAAGTCAATAGTTTTGAAATCGTTATCGATAATGAGTTCCATGACAGCACGGCCGACGCCGGTAGCGTGCTGCACGCCGTGACCACTGAGACCATTGGCGAAGATCATGTTGCGATGATACGGGTGATTTCCTATAATCAAATTCTGGTCGAATGTGTTGTAGTCATAGAAACCTGCCCAGGCACTTTTTAACTGAAACAAAAAGAGGACATGAATGTTCACTAAAATGATGATATAATTCATTAATGAAGTAGAAATATGAATAATTAGTGATAGCTGCTTCCTAGCCAGACTTATCTGGGTGCCTTACCTTGAGACATTCAAACTTGGGCACCCTGCTTGCCAGTGATGGCCACACATTGTCGTGGAAGTAGTCATAGTTGACCTCGAGATCGTCTGTGCATGGCTCGTTCTCCTGGAATGTAGAAGCACAGACTTGTTAACCTGTATCACATGGGTGGGTGTGGTGTCTACCACCCATCCTCCACCCATCCCTCCTGATTCTACCCACCACCCTGCCTCACCCACCCCCAATCTATCCACCACCCTGCCTCACCCACCCCCAATCTATCCACCAACCTGCTTCACCCTAACCCAATCTATCCACCACCCTGCCTCACCAACCCCCAATCTATCCACCACCCTGCCTCACCCTAACCCAATCTATCCACCACCCTGCCTCACCCACCCCCAATCTATCCACCACCCTGCCTCACCCTAACCCAATCTATCCTCCACCCTGGAGCCACCCATCCCTCCTGATTCTACCCACCACCCTGCCTCACCCACCCCCAATCTATCCACCACCCTGCCTCACCCACCCCCAATCTATCCACCACCCTGCCTCACCCTAACCCAATCTATCCACCACCTTGCCTCACCCACCCCCAATCTATCCACCACCTGCCTCACCCACCCCCAATCTATCCACCACCTTACATCACCCATCCCAACCCATTCACCACCCTGCCTCACCCACCAGCAATCTATCCACCACCCTGCCTCGCCCACCCCCAATCTTTCCACCACCCTGCCTCATCCACCCCCAATCTATTCACCATCCATGACTCTGCCAAACCCGTTCCCCACCCTGCCTCATCCACCCCCAATCTATTCACCACCCTGCCTCACCAACCCCCAATCTATCCATCACCCTGCCTCATCCACCCCCAATCTATCTACCACCCTGCCTCATCCACCCCCAATCTATCCACCACCCTGCCTCACCCACCCCCAATCTATCTACCACCCTGCCTCACCCACCCCCAATCTATCTATCACCCTGCCTCACCCACCCCCAATCTATTCACCACCCTGCCTCACCAACCCCCAATATATCTACCATCCTGCCTCATCCACCCCCAATCTATCCACCATCCATGACTCTGCCACACCCGTTCCCCACCCTGCCTCATCCACCCCCAATCTATCCATCACCCTGCCTCCCCAACCCCCAATCTATCTACAACCCTGCCTCACCCACCCCCAATTTATTCACCATCCATGACTCTGCCACACCCGTTCCCCACCCTGCCTCATCCACCCCCAATCTATTCACCACCCTGCCTCACCAACCCCCAATCTATCCATCACCCTGCCTCATCCACCCCGAATCTATCTACCACCCTGCCTCACCCACGTCCCAATCTATCCACCACCCAACCTCACCCACCCCAAATCTATCCACCACCTTGCCTCACCCACCCCCAATCTATCCACCACCCTGCCTCACCCACCCCCAATCTATCCACCACCCTGCCTCACCCACCCCCAATCTATCCACCATCCATGACTCTGCCACACCCGTCCCTCACCCTGCCTCCCTGGAGTACTGACCTCTGTTGGGGAGCAGCCACAGATATAATGGCCCCCGTAACCATCTTGTCTGTAGTAGGTTAAGCTGGAGTCAATGGTCATTGGTGATGCCACTCCAGGCCCATCTGGACAATGGATGGCATAGATGTAGCGCTTCCTACAACAAAAGCATGATCAATGTAAAAGCCATCCTTGATTATCCAGTGTATTGAATCTCCATTCTAATATGATTTGTTTGTTTCCTTGTTGATTAATGCCACACTCATCAATAGTGCAGCTTTATGACGGCGGTCTGTAAATAATCAAGTCTGTACCAGACAGTACAGTGATTGACATCGTGAGCATCGATCCACGCAATTGGGATACAACGACATGCATCAGCCAAGTCACCAAGTCTGACCACCTGATCCTGTTAGTTGCCGCTAACGAGAAGCATGGCAGATACCCTGGACCCAAATGCTACCATAGCTTGAAGATAGCTTCATTTTAAGTCCAGTCCAAATAACGGTAAAAGGTCATCCAATCTCTGCTCTGTTCTTTCAAGATTAAAAAAGGCGCCAGTATTAACCTTTGTGTTCCTCCTTCAGTACAAAACCTGGTAGCGGAAGATTTCCATCCCCTTGTATACAATTCAGGAAAACCTTTTTTCCCCACATAAAATTCATCAAAAAAGACTTCTGATTTGATACATTTATCAAGGGCTTGCCTATACAAGGACACAGTTTTGAATGTAGATCTATGCAGAACACTCATTCAGAAGAGTAAATGTGATTGGCTTTTGATTCCAGGTAAACGAGCAATCCTGGGCTGCATTACTGGTAATCAAGGATAAGTTGAACCAAACGCGTTTGAGACAAGTAGGCGGTGTACAGAATTTGGACAAACATGTTTTTTTTGTTTGGATTGATAAATACTGAACTGAGAGTTTTTAGGAGATACATTCATTAGAACTTTGTTATGTTGACAGTCTGGTGCATCATCAAACAACTGTGACCAGTCTCCAGGACCAGCACCTACTGGGGTTCAACAGGAAGTGGTGTTACAAGGTCACCAGGACCAGCACCTACTGGGGTTCAACATGAAGTGGTGTTACAAGGTCTCCAGGACCAGCACCTACTGGGGTTCAACATGAAGTGGTGTTACAAGGTCTCCAGGACCAGCACCTACTGGGGTTCAACATGAAGTGGTGTTACAAGGTCTCCAGGACCAGCACCAACTGGGGTTCAACATGAAGTGGTGTTACAAGGTCTCCAGGACCAGCACCTACTGGGGTTCAACAGGAAGTGGTGTTACAAGGTCACAGGACCAGCACCGACTGGGGTTCAACAGGAAGTGGTGTTACAAGGTCTCCAGGACCAGCACCTACTGGGGTTCAACAGGAAGTGGTGTTACAAGGTCTCCAGGACCAGCACCGACCGGGGTTCAACAGGAAGTGGTGTTGCAAGGTCACCAGGACACCTACCGGGGTTCAACAGGAAGTGGTGTTACAAGGTCTCCAGGACCAGCACCAAAAGGGGTTCAACAGGAAGTGGTGTTACAAGGTCACAGGACCAGCACCTACTGGGGTTCAACATGAAGAGGTGCTTCAAGGTCTCCAGGACCAGCACCAAATGGGGTTCAACAGGAAGTGGTGTTACAAGGTCACAGGACCGGCACCAAATGGGGTTCAACAGGAAGTGGTGTTACAAGGTCACAGGACCAGCACAGACTGGGGTTCAACGGGAAGTGGTGTTACAAGGTCACAGGACCGGCACCAAATGGGGTTCAACAGGAAGTGGTGTTACAAGGTCACAGGACCAGCACCAAATGGGGTTCAACAGGAAGTGGTGTTACAAGGTCACAGGACCAGCACAGACTGGGGTTCAACGGGAAGTGGTGTTACAAGGTCACAGGACCGGCACCAAATGGGGTTCAACAGGAAGTGGTGTTACAAGGTCACAGGACCAGCACAGACTGGGGTTCAACGGGAAGTGGTGTTGCAAGGTCACCAGGACACCTACCGGGGTTCAACAGGAAGTGGTGTTGCAAGGTCACCAGGACACCTACCGGGGTTCAACATGAAGTGGTGTTACAAGGTCTCCAGGACCAGCACCAAATGGGGTTCAACAGGAAGTGGTGTTACAAGGTCACAGGACCAGCACTGACTGGGGTTCAACAGGAAGTGGTGTTGCAAGGTGACGAGGTCAAGCACCTACTGGGGTTCAACAGGAAGTGGTGTTACAAGGTCTCCAGGACCAGCACTGACTGGGGTTCAACAGGAAGTGGTGTTACAAGGTCTCCAGGACCAGAACCGACTGGGGTTCAACATGAAGTGGTGTTACAAGGTCTCCAGGACCAGCACCTACTGGGGTTCAACAGGAAGTGGTGTTACAAGGTCACAGGACCAGCACCGACTGGGGTTCAACAGGAAGTGGTGTTACAAGGTCTCCAGGACCAGCACCTACTGGGGTTCAACAGGAAGTGGTGTTACAAGGTCTCCAGGACCAGCACCGACTGGGGTTCAACAGGAAGTGGTGTTGCAAGGTCACCAGGACACCTACCGGGGTTCAACAGGAAGTGGTGTTACAAGGTCTCCAGGACCAGCACCAAATGGGGTTCAACAGGAAGTGGTGTTACAAGGTCACAGGACCAGCACCTACTGGGGTTCAACATGAAGAGGTGCTTCAAGGTCTCCAGGACCAGCACCAAATGGGGTTCAACAGGAAGTGGTGTTACAAGGTCACAGGACCGGCACCAAATGGGGTTCAACAGGAAGTGGTGTTACAAGGTCACAGGACCAGCACAGACTGGGGTTCAACGGGAAGTGGTGTTGCAAGGTCACCAGGACACCTACCGGGGTTCAACAGGAAGTGGTGTTGCAAGGTCACCAGGACACCTACCGGGGTTCAACATGAAGTGGTGTTACAAGGTCTCCAGGACCAGCACCAAATGGGGTTCAACAGGAAGTGGTGTTACAAGGTCACAGGGCCAGCACCGACTGGGGTTCAACAGGAAGTGGTGTTACAAGGTCTCCAGGACCAGCACCTACTGGGGTTCAACAGGAAGTGGTATACAAGGTCACAGGACCAGCACCGACTGGGGTTCAACAGGAAGTGGTGTTACAAGGTCTCCAGGACCAGCACCTACTGGGGTTCAACAGGAAGTGGTGTTACAAGGTCACAGGACCAGCACCTACTGGGGTTCAACATGAAGAGGTGCTTCAAGGTCTCCAGGACCAGCACCAAATGGTGTTCAACAGGAAGTGGTGTTACAAGGTCACAGGACCAGCACAGACTGGGGTTCAACGGGAAGTGGTGTTGCAAGGTCACCAGGACACCTACCGGGGTTCAACAGGAAGCGGTGTTGCAAGGTCACCAGGACACCTACCGGGGTTCAACATGAAGTGGTGTTACAAGGTCTCCAGGACCAGCACCAAATGGGGTTCAACATGAAGTGGTGTTACAAGGTCACAGGACCAGCACCGACTGGGGTTCAACAGGAAGTGGTGTTACAAGGTCTCCAGGACCAGCACTGACTGGGGTTCAACAGGAAGTGGTGTTACAAGGTCTCCAGGACCAGAACCGACTGGGGTTCAACAGGAAGTGGTGTTACAAGGTCACCAGGACCAGCACCGTCTGGGGTTCAACAGGAAGTGGTGTTACAAGGTCACAGGACCAGCACCTACTGGGGTTCATCAGGAAGTGGTGTTACAAGGTCACAGGACCAGCACCGACTGGGGTTCAACAGGAAGTGGTGTTACAAGGTCTCCAGGACCAGCACCGTCTGGGGTTCAACAGGAAGTGGTGTTACAAGGTCTCCAGGACCAGCACCTACTGGGGTTCAACAGGAAGTGGTGTTACAAGGTCTCAAGGACCAGCACCGAGTGGGGTTCAACAAGAAGTGGTGTTACAAGGTCTCCAGGACCAGCACCTACTGGGGTTCAACAGGAAGTGGTGTTACAAGGTCTCCAGGACCAGCACCTACCGGGGTTCAACAGGAAGTGGTGTTGCAAGGTCTCCAGGGCCAAGACCAATCATTGCCTTCCTAGCAACATCGCCTGCCCAGGCTCCAGCACAGTTGATGACAACTGCAAACCTTGTCTCATAAGTCTTTCCATCCTTGCCTTTGATCTGAAAAGTTAAATATTTATCTCACTGGACTGGCCAACAAAACAAGAGTAGGGTGGGGTCGTGTTTTTCTGTATGCTAGAAAGGAAGTACAACATACAAAATACAGGTGCCCCAGGGCTTAACGTTACATTTGAAGAACAAATGTGTACGGTTGTATTAACATGTAGAGATATTTATCAATGTGGTTGAGTGCTGCATTCAGTAAAATGATGTCACAAAGAGAGAGTTGGGTTTAACGCAACTATTAACAGTATTCCAGTTATATCACGGCGTGTCAGCTTAACTTTGGTAGATCCCATAAGCACGAGTATGGTGCTGACAAACCTAGAAACATAATCAGGGCAAACCTGGATTCTAACCCACAATCTTGTGTGCCCAAAGGACGCAACTCCTTAGACGACGGCACCTTAGACGACAGGGCCACCTGTGCCCCCTTTGGTCAATATTAGATTTGGTTTGTTTGTTGTTTAACGGCACACTCAGCAATATTCCAGCTGTATGATGGCGGTCTGTAAATAATCGAGTCTGGACTAGACAATCCTGCGATTGACATCACGAGCATCGATCCAATTAGGATACTATGACATGCATCAACCAAGTCAGCGAGTCTGACCACCTGATCCCGTTAGTCGCCTCTTACGACAAGCATAATCAGTCGCCTTGGTAAATATTAACATACATACATCTATACATAATTTCGATCCTGCAACACATGTTTATTGGATTAAATCAGTATTTCATATTGCCTTAAAGTCAGTCACTGAACATGCTTTTGAAAACCCCATACATAAATTTGCTGTGATGCTGTTATCACCAAAAGCATGGTCTAATGTAGATTCAGCATCTGTGGAGGACCACTCAGATGTAAGATTCTAAAATGTTATTGCAGACTGGACCAAATCTAAACTAAGATGACCCCTGGAAATATCTGTGGATCTATCGTCACTTCATTGAACAACTCATTATTCAAATTTAAATAACTTACAACAGCAGAGTCGAGTATTTTGTGCGTGTTGGACTCGGACCCCATCATACTTCTCTCTTCCCGGAAGTCGAACTCTGTGAGCTCCCCGGTCACGTAGCGGACCCCGAGACTCTGGTTCTTCTGCCTGAAGGCCTGGAGCAGACAGTAGGGGTCAAACCATCCTTCTCCCTCCAAACCTGCAACACATAGCCTGACAGTGAGTGAGTGAGTGAGTGAGTGAGTGAGTGAGTGAGTGAGTGAGTGAGTGAGTGAGTGAGTGAGTACGACACTTTGTATCCCAGTTATATCACGGTGTATCAGCTTGATGGAGGACGGAAGCCCAAAGTGATGCAGGACTTAGATATCAACCACACACGGCCTGGAAGGGCTTAACGTCACCAAGCAGTATTCAAGGTTATACAATGGAGGCTTTAAAATAATCAAGACTGGGGCAGACATTCCAGTGATTGAAATCATGAGCCATCATGACCCATTAAGTCTCCTCTTACAACCAGGGACCACTCTAACAAGGGAATTTGTTTGTTGTTCAACGCCGCAATATTCCCGCTAAATGACTGTGTTCTCTAAATAATCAAGTCTGGACCATATAATCCAGTGATTGACTTCATGAGCATCGATCTACACAATTGGGACACGATGACATGCATCAACCAAGTCACGAGCGTAACCACTCAGTCCATTTAGTCGTCTCTTACGACAAGCATGGGTTACTGGGGACCTATAATCTCAACCAGAATCCCCACTGGGTTTTGGAAACAAGACGTTGTAGTTTCAACACAGTCTGTAAATAATTGAGTCCAAGCAAACCAGTGGTTGATATCATGAGTCATCAAGGTGAACATGACATGCTATCAACCAAGTCACTGAGTCTGAACATCTGATCCAACATAGTTGCCTTCTATGACAATCTGGGTACAATGTGTGAAGCCCATTTCTGGTGTCTTATGCTGTGACATTGCTGGAATATTTCTAAAAGCAGCGTAAAAAACCATATTCACTCACTCCATGATAATCTGGGTTCAATGTATGCAGCCCATTCCACATGTCCCCTGCTGTGATATTGCCAGACTTTTGCTGAAAGTGGGGTACAACCCAACTCACTCACTCACTCACTCACTCACTCACTCACTCATGACAGTCAACAGAAAGGTAGGCACTTCCTGTACATTGGTGATCGACCGCCTCCCTCGTCTAGTGGAAGAGCATCTGCCCGGAGAGCGAATGGTGGAGGGTTCAATCTCTGGACGTGTCATAGCAAAAGACGTTAAAAGATGGTACTTGTTGTTACCCTGGTTGGTGCTTATAATGTTTGCAAACTTTTCAAAAAGACAGAAACTGTCATTTGATTGATTGTGACTTGTTACCCTGGTTGGTGCTCAGCATTAAGGGGCCAAAACAAGGACTGGTCGGCTCGGAGTCAGTATACTGTGTCTGAGTGGGGTATTCATGTTAAACTGCGGCATGCATGTGGCTACATAAGTGCAGTAATCTTGAACACAACGTTAATCCCCATTTCAACTCAACTCACCTCTCATATGGTGATCATACATTATACGCGGGAGCATGTAATACCATGACACCACTCAGTGCCATCAGAATAGAAAACAACACATTACCTGAACCAACATTCTATAATTCCTAACTGACAAGAAGTTTTGAAATGAAAGTTATCTCCCTTGTATCATGACCGACTATAGAGTGTTTTCCATTGCAGTGTCTCAGCTAAATGTTTGCAAACTTTTCAAAAAGACAGAAACTGTCATTTGATTGATTGTGACTTGTTACCCTGGTTGGTGCTCAGCATTAAGGGGCCAAAACAAGGACTGGTCGGCTCGGAGTCAGTATACTGTGTCTGAGTGGGGTATTCATGTTAAACTGCGGCATGGTATCTCAGTGAGCTAGCACTATAAAATCGGCATTAGTCTGGACTAGTGCAACCAGTCTCACATACAAGCACACGCACATGCATGCATGTGGCTACATAAGTGCAGTAATCTTGAACACAACGTTAATCCCCATTTCAACTCAACTCACCTCTCATATGGTGATCATACATTATATGCGGGAGCATGTAATACCATGACACCACTCAGTGCCATCAGAATAGAAAACAACACATTACCTGAACCAACATTCTATAATTCCTAACTGACAAGAAGTTTTGAAATGAAAGTTATCTCCCTTGTATCATGACCGACTATAGAGTGTTTTCCATTGCAGTGTCTCAGCTAAATGTTTGCAAACTTTTCAAAAAGACAGAAACTGTCATTTGATTGATTGTGACTTATAAAAATTTCAAAATTCTGAATATAATTCCATAACAAAATGGTACAAAATTAAACAATTCCTGAAGTGTTGTAAGGTTCTCTGTTTCTTTGCTTGTTAAAAACATCACACTGGGTGTGAGTGAGTGAGTTGGGTTTAACACCGCATTTAACATTATTAAAGTTATATCACGGCTTGTCAGCTTAATGTGGGAGGAAAGCCCGAAGTGATGCAGGTCTCAGACGTTTACCACTTCAGTGAAACCCACAAGCACGGAATGGTGCTGACAAACCTAGAAACATAATCGGGGCAAACCGGGATTCGAACCCACGATCATAGGTTTCTGGCGTGTCTAAGGGACGCAACTCTGCACAGCGAATCGCGGCCCCCACATCACACTGGGAGCAATGTCACTCTATCAGGGTACAATCAGCCAAGTCACAGATCAACAACCAGATCCATTGTCAGCTCAAAAAAAACAAGCATAGGTTGTCAGAAAGTCATTCCAACCAAGAATCCCCTTAGATACAATATCTCTTGTGCTTATGAAGATTCATCAAGATATATTGAATTGTTTGAGTTATGGTCTGCAAAATGAAGCCATCATTTCTTTAATTGTTACTGCCTTAGAAATGCAAAATCCTGAACAGCAAAAGGTACCAGTTTAGCACTATGATGGGCATGTCTACATTTATGAAGAAATATTCTACAGCACGGAAAAGATTCCTACCCTCATGTGGACCTAAGTCTGATGTGTTGCCTTGAAATGTAAAAAGTAAAAATTAAAAAAATTCCTGGTTAACAAAAGGCACCAGTTCAGCACTTGCCTGATGTACATAAAAACTTTCATGAAGAAATATTTATAGTGTCTATATTTGGGCAAGGGAGAAAAAATATTGTGAAAACGAATTGTGCTTGGAAGGGAGACAACTCTGGCGATCATCTCTCAGCCATGGCTGATTACAAATCCTCGTGTCCCCAAGAATCATTGCTCACTCACTGACCGTAAGTTCCGAGTTCAACTCCGTCGAGGTTCAGCCAGGGGAACTTTTCCTTCAGCCTATCACGGGTTAACAGGTCAATCTTGGCCCCCAGCTCCCTGAAAACAGAGTGGAAACAACGTATAAATACCCACAACCACCTGTGTTTGAAATAACTTGAAAACCCAACAAGACAGACAGTCAGGCAGGCAACCCATAAATGTTGCCTGTCCATCTTCAAAGTTACCTGCCCGCATTCAGATATTATTAATATTGAAAAATCACGACAAATAAGAGACGAATCACATCTTGATTCAGTTGATATAATGCAAAACATTCACTATAGAATCTACGAGGAGTTATGATCAAACTAAACATGTAAGTTGTCCTACAATTATCTGCCAGACAGTCGGGCAGGTGGAGGAAAATTTCATGCAGCCCGACTGAAAAGTTACCAGCCACGGGCAGGCGGGCAGGCAGTTATTTCGGACTCTGACGACCACCCTGACACAACTCATTGTGTGTTTGTTCTTTGATGCTGCACTAGGTAATATTCCACCTCCATGACAGTCAGTCTGGACCTATTTCCAGTGGTTGATGTTGTGAGCAACAGTCCAAGCCATCGGGTACGATGACAAGCTGTCAACCAAGTCACACCGAACCTGACCACCCGATCCATTAAGTCGCCTCAAATGACCAGCATAGGTTGATGACAACCCACCCACAATCCCCATGGGGTGCACGGCTCACTGAACACAGGCCACACTAAGTATCAACATGGCAACCCTGACATGGTAAAAAACAGCTTGAGAAAAGAAATTTCTTTAAACATAGTCCATGGCTTATGAAATTTGAAACTGGCTTGTAACTTTTTAAGGCTAGCTTGGCAGACTAGCCAGCAATATTTTGATACTACTTTACACACTGTGCACAGCCATGTTGGAAACTTCAGTTCGCATGACATGTATCAACCAAGTCAGCGAGCCTGACCATCCGATCCCGTTAGTCGCCTTTTACAACAAGCATAGTCGCCTTTTACGGCAAGTATGGGTTGCTGAAGACCTATTCTACCCCGGAATCTTCACAGGTCTAGTTCGCAGTGTGTGGTATATATGTTCACATGCACTCTATGTTGTCATGAACAGCAAGTACCGCTGAAAATAGTTAGGGTTGGCACAATGCATACTTTTCTTCAGGCCTAACCAACTCGCTGCTTCCACACACATGGCTGGGATCTGTTTGGCAACACTTACGTCTGTAAAGCATGGTTTTTGAGACACTGTTCCACCTTGTCAGGAGGGACCAGGAACAGATAGCCTTGATGGTTGAAGGGGACACTGGGAGGGTCCTGGTCTGCAAGAACATGTAGAACACATACAGAGAGAGAGAGAGCACATAGTCTGGATAAATACTCAAACATTCAACCAGTTAACATATAAACAGAGGATAGTCCAGACACATACTCACAAACATTCAACCAGTTTAGATATAAACAGACTCACAAACATTCAACCAATTACCATATAAACAGTGGAAATTGTCCAGACACATACTCACAAACATTTAACCAATTAACATATAAACAGACTCACAAACATTCAACCAGTTAACATATAAACAGACTCACAAACATTCAACCAGTTAACATATAAACAGTGGAAATAGTCCAGAGGAATGCTCACAAACATTCAACCAGTAGGATCGTAATAGAAACTGGATGACAGGAAAGGGTGCAGTTTTACTTGAACTTAGAAATCATAGAAAAAGACTATTTTACGTCTACGTTAAACATGTTAATGTATGAGAGTTACGATATTCTTGGCGCCAAGATCGCTTTATGCAAGCGAGGCCATGTAAGTAGATACTCTTATTGGGTCCTTCTTTATTTATATTTATAAAACCTGAAAAGGCAAACCCCCCTGGCGGCAGCATGACAATCCTACGTATCAGAGCAGTGATTTCATTTACTGACAGTTACATTCGGTACAGTTATATGTGTATACAATCGGTAATGTTCAGGGTTTGTTATGAAACAGGTTTTGAAGCTAAAATACCAAAATGTAAAGAAACATGTGGGTAAAAGAGTTGAATACAAACTAAAAGTTGTTGACACCCAATACAAATCAAACCCATGGGTTAAGTACCCAAATAAACAAAAGCTAATCTCGAGCTGTGACGTAACCGTGTTGATGCTCACCAAGAACACTGAGATGTTCCTTGATGTTCTGGAGGAAATCGGTGCAGAACATAGACAGCTCCACATTCTCGGACATTGAGAACTGATGTCTGAGACCACCTGCTGACAGGGTGCTCGATGCCCGGGTGTACTGTAATAAACCACAAGCACAGGTGAATGTGCTCTGCCACTCACTAACAAGTCAGGCGAAGTTGGAGTGGATATGTAACAAAGCTCGATTTAGTTATACAACACATGCACAAGTGCAACCTACTATTTAAAAAAGCAACCTAATATTAATGTCTACATTTGCAAGTGCATGTAAAACATATATAATTATGTTGTGAATAACATTAAAAAATATATTAATATATGTACTGTTCCCAGAATACAGAGTATTTCCTGTATTTTGTCAAAAAACAATCTTTATTTTATCAATATAAGACTGGAGTTACATTAAAAATGTAGTATTTTAATCCTGTTAATCAAAACATAAATGAAAAACTATGTAAATAATTCAAATTTGTTTCTATCATGCTTATTTCCATGTTAATCTGTTAGCAATAAAAATGTGTAAATCACACAATCAAACAATTGCAGCCAAATACAAAGCTATATATGGGAGTGGGTTGGAGTGAGTGAGGGAGTGGAAGGATGGGGAGGCAAGGATTGTGAAAGGGATGTGTGTTTTAGTAAAGGGCTGCCACTGACCCTTGATGCTGAGTATTCACCTGAAGCCGACATGATTTCCAGATTCTTCTTTTTATGCCAAATGAACATTTAGACATTTTGTTCAGATGACAATTATATGTAGAAGAATGACTTCATAGATGAGAAAGTTTTATTTTTTTGTCCAAACACACTGAAAGTTAGCCAGGGGTCTAGGGGACTATATGATTTGTGTATATGTAATGGCATGTATCACAAAAGTGACCCATCATGTAACGAAATTCAGTGGAAAATTCACATCCCTGATCATAAGATGAAGCCAAAAAACATGTTCATCATTCATGTTTGAAAACATATAATATGCTGATGATTAAAGCAACTGTGAAATAATATGTACTGATACAAAGTGTTTGTTTGTTTGTTGTTTAACGCTGCACTTAGCAATATTCCAGCTACATGGGGGCGGTCTGTAAATGATCGAATCTGGACCAGACAATCCAGTGATTGACATCATGAGCAATGATCTACGCAATTGGGATACGATGAATGCATCAACTAAGTTAGCGAGCCTGACCACCTGATCCTGTTAGTCACCTCTCACAACAAGCATGGGTAGCTGAAGACTAATTCTAACCTGGAATCTTCACCAGACCTGATATAAAATGAAGCATACAGGGTACCATACCATGGCCTAGAATATATGTACGAATAGTTGATATTGCAGTGTGAATAGTTTCAGCCTACCTCTTTAAACATCCACCAATGCCAGCCCTAGGTTAGTGTGGGAGTTGGGGTTAGTTGGCTATGCAATGTCTTCCAGGGCTCCAGATAATGTTTTGAGCCGCTGAGTATACTCACATCTTATCCACATTCGGAATTGATAGTTTTCTTTGAGTGTTCAGTATATGTTTACTCTCGTGGGTCCAGTCTATTGGGTTTTGTAACCGATGAGTAGACTTTTTTTTAAAACAATTCTACTTCTATGCTGTTTAACAGATCAGCATCCGTTTGTGTGAACCCAGAGTGAGACGCATGACAAATTTAAGAATTAAATGACGAGTAGGAGCTGTTTATCGTACAACAAAACACTGCAGGGAGAATAAACCATGAGGGGCGCAGTCGTTTATTTCTTATATGAGATATCAATATTACGTTCAGCCTCTTTAAGGATGTTAGTTAACAGTACACGCTTTACAAAATAATTACCCGTATTTAATTAATGATGACTCCCTGAATAGAATCCAACCATGGCAATGTCGGACAAGTACATTTCATGAACAGGGGTCTTTCCCAGTCGATTATCTGTACTTTTTCTCCCAACACTGAATATCATATGTCTCCCACTTTTGGAAGTGAATGTTTGGCCATAGCGTTTATCTGCATTGCCCAGCTACATCTATGGGGAACAGCCCACTTTACATTTCCCTCTCAAAAATAACGTCATCCAAATATACGGCGTCATCAAGTTGCGAGCACTTGTCCGAATCTCCACAAATGGCGTCATGATAGAACAATGTTTTATCATGAAAACAACCATGCTTTGTTCTTTGGGATTTATTTCATAGCTATCTATATAAGCCAATAACAGTGATACATGGCTGAGTTACAATAAGAAGATGTCACACAACTGTACATTATTGAAGCAGTAGGTAGGTAGGTTGGTTTGTTGTTTAACGCCGCACTCAGCAATATTCCAGTTATATGACGGCAGACCAGACAATCCAGTAATTAATATCATGAGCATCAATCCACGCAATTGGGATCGATGACATGCATCAACCAAGTCAGTGAGCCTGACCACCCGATCCCGTTAGTCGCCTCTAACGACAAGCATAGTCGCCTTTTACGGTAAGCATGGGTTGCTGAAGACCTATTCTAACCCGGATCTTCATGGGTCTGAAGCAGTAGAGTTCATCTAATCATGATGCCTGCATTCAGTCAGAAATGGTTTTTTTAGGTAAAGACGTGTACGCAAGCTGAAAAAGCTATGGGTAATCACACACTGTTAATATATTATACTATTGGGTTGCTGAATTTCTTCATGCGTATTTGTATGCAAGCAGCTCAAAGTTAATTGGATAATGGTGATTTAGTTTGCATATTTTCCACAAATTCACGGCTTATCTGGAGCTCTGTCCTCACTCGACAGGCCAGGGTGAGAAGGTGAAAAAGTCAAACAAATATAATTTCTACGCTCATATCTTTCTCCAACACCATGAGGCTGACTCCCTTGGGATGCCTCTGTTTGACCCAGTAGGCGACAGCTGATCCGATCAGCCCCCCTCCCACCACCAGGATGTCCACCTCGCGGGGGACAGGCAGCTCAGTGGGGAGGGGCTGACCCTGCTGCACAGCCTGGAACTCTTCCTTCAAGATCTTCCAGGGCGACCGGAACGACCCAGCTGGGGGTGTTTTCTCTGACCCATTGGAACAGAACTGTCGGATGCAGTTACGCAGACCTTGACGCAACATCTTGGACCTCCGCTATGTCTACAACATAAAACAAACAATGTGAGAAACTACCCCTAGAGTCCCAAACAAAATTCCTAATGGCTAAGGTTTCAATAGTCTGTCTTACAGACCCTGATACAAATATATATCTAATACAGCCCATGCAAGTCTATAATATTTGGCAAGTCTAGATTACTGCAGTATCTGAAAATGAAGAGAGTCACTGCGCTCCCTTTTATTATATTTTTATTAAGATAACTGTTATTTTCTGTACAATATGTTCATTTCAGAGACTAGATGTTAGTCTAAGGTTTCAATAATATCAGTAGAAATCCCTAGCACTTTGAAACTGTCCCTTAGCTGTCAGGAGTACCAGTAGTGTAAATCTATAGTTTCATCTGCTGACAACCATTTGTAAACTGAAAGATATCCCTGACACCATATGATTGAAAACAGGATGGCTTTCTCAACATGCTAACATATGACTTAAAACGGACAAAAGAAGCTCTGTCATCATGGCTCAATCCTGCCAGGATCATCATGTTAAATCAGTTTATATTTCAATTTTTTTTAAATGATACAGTTTCACATTTGAGAATAAACTTATCATGCTTATCACAAAAGTAATTACTCTCATTTTGGGGTCATAACATTTTCTCACATTCATAAACTATTGATATAATTTATACATGAAGTGTTCAGATCTTTTCGAATGGATATTCGTATGATGTTTGTTTTATAAATTAAGCTTTTAATCTGCCACTTTTGCTATAGGTTATATGAATTTCATTTAGCGTTTTATGGAAAAAGTGGTTTGTTTATGATTTCTTAGACAAACAAAATGGCATTTATTTAGCAGTCACAATTGCTCGAGTGAACACTGATATACACATCGAACAACGATAGGCGCGTCTATGTTTAGTGTATAACGTTCCAAGCTATAGATATTCACGGTAAATTATATTGGTACAAATTTAAAGCAATTAGAAATGATCTTGTTATCGTAGTGTGTCGAACTTTCCCATCGAGTCGTGTGAGAAGCTGGTGAGGCATCGGCTTCAGCTCGAGGCCTGGCCTCTTTTCGCGGATATCAGATATTCACCTTCCTCGAACTGTTAAATGTTTGATGTCTTGTCATATTTTTTTCATCACTTTCTGGAATAGTTTTCTAAAATATCATATCCCCTTTGGCTTCGAAGAAAACCCCATGTGCCAAATCAAAGGTAGATAACTCTATACAGAGAAAGCGCATTTGTTAGCCGATAAAAATGTAAAGCACCGTTATCTTACATTTGCTTGTGATGTTTGAGGTACTGGTAAAAGAGCGTTGAATGTTGTTGAGCTAAATCCGACCAGGGGCCCGGTGATATGAATTTACGCATTACTTGAATCCGATTTGGGCTATTGTTATACATGATCATTTAATCTGGAAGGACCCAAAGCCTCACATTATATATTTATATATAAACGTAAATTTCCTTAATCATAAGAAATCTCAGCTAAAAGCAAAGTCCACTGTTAGGCTCTAACCACATCATATGTGTATATGAATAACTATCAATTAGTTATATGATACCATTCGCGAAAAGGTGAGCGCATCTGGCCCCACCGGTGGCACCCATCACAATGCAATTAAATTGTCACCTGAAAATGTCACGTCAACTTTTCACCTGAAAAAGTACGGGAACAGTTGTTACAAGTCAAAATAAGGATTTACATCGAGCCTAATTTTTGTCATTTCCAAATTTCGGAAATATTCCCCCAGAGACCATATACAGATATATGCACTCTGATCCTCCACATGTCAACCATACAACATTTTGAAAGACATGTCAACCATACAACATTTTGAAAGATTTATTGAAGCCTTTATAATCTGTCATACAGACCCTGATACAAATATAGCCAATACAGCCCATGCAAGTCTATCATATTTGGCAAGTCTAGATCACTGCAGTATCTGAAAATGAAGAGTCCCTGGGCTCCTTTTTTTTTATATTTCATAATTATTATTTAACAACTGTTTTATCTGTAAAATATGTTCATTTCAGAGATTAGATGTTAGCCTATGAAGCCTTGAATGTTTATTGTAACCCTGTTGAAACAAGTTTTGAATTCTCCGTAGAAAGAGCATGCTCGGTTATACCTCAATAGATGTGAAAGACAGACACCAAAGGCTGGAGCTGCTGGAGCAGTGTTCGACATACAAGGAAAGATAACAACTGAAAAGTTGAAGTCTTCCCTTTTGTCATAGTCTTGGGAATAGTCTTGTCACTCTTAATTTCAATGAATTCTCTAATCTAAATATGAAACAGATGAGGCGGCTTCATAAGCACCAAGTCAGTAAACCAATATTTCGTAGAGGAAATGTAAGATCAGTTGAGTGAGTGAGTGAGTGAGTGAGTGAGTGAGTGAGGTTTTACGCCGCTTTTAGCTATATTCCAGCAATTTTACGCTTTAACCACTAGGCTACCCCACCGCCCCTACAATTTGGTAATAAGTGAGTGAGTTAGGGATAACGTCCATTTGAGCAGTATTTCAGTTAATTCACGTCGTGTCGGCTTGATGTGGGAGGTTAGTCCGAAGTGATGCAGGTCATGTATACATTTACCACTTCGGTGAACCCACGAGCACGGGTATGGCGCTGACAAACCTAGAAAAGCGAACCTGGATTCGAACCAATGATCAAGCGTTTCTGGCTCACCCAAGGGAGGCAACACAGCGCGGCGGGGTGAGGTGAATTGGGGTTTAATGTGTGTGTGTGTGCGTGCGTGCGTGCTTGCGTGCGTGCGTGCGTGCGTGCGTGCGTGCGTGTGTGTGTGTGTGTGTGTGTGTGTGTGTGTGTGTGTTGGTTTAGTTGCGGTGGGCTAGGGGATCTTGTACTAGTCCGGACTGATGCCGATTTTATAGTGCTTGCTAGCCCACTGAGATACCATGCCGCAGTTTAACATGGACACCCCAGTCAGACACAGTATACGGACTCCCCTTAAAGGGGTACTAATCTCTGGCTTCTTCTTGGCTGTCTGACACTCCCGCTAAGGCTCACTAGCTGAGTCGATTTGCTCCCTAACGCAACTGAGCACGCGAGAAACGGGGCTACCGTCTGCAAGGACGGCTAAATAAACTTGGAGGCAATATTTGTTTTACGCATTTTCCTAACACAGATTGGTTTAACCCTGATCTATGAAGATTTCGACAAAGGGCACATGTTAATTAATTTCTTCAGCCTAAACAAACAGACAAAAAGAACGGCGGAAGCTCATCGGATGTCGTTGTATGGAAATACCCCTGATGGTTATAGTTTAAGAATAAAAAAAGTATCCCTGCAGTGAAAGCATTTTCGGATTTCGGATTGCGTTGATGATACAATTACTACTCCCTTGTTGTCATCCATGTTTTCTGGTAAAACCCAACGCTTGTGTATTTGTCGTAATTCACTTGATGCTCAGTTAATGGATTTATTACAGGAATAGTTAGTGTTAACACCACTCAGACTACCTGATAAGGGTTCCCATTTGGCATTTCTTGTGTCTGGGATAATTATTCAATCTAAACCCAGGTTTGAAGTGAGGTGAAATGTGTGTTATGTAATGTGCACCTGGCAGCCCAGCAAGAGATGAATGATCAGTTGATTTACTTTTTGTAAATCAACGCATCATTCCTAGCCATCAAAGGATCAACAGAGATTACGTTGATTGATTAATCACTGTTATCTTGCACGATGGATTTGTCAAAAGTAAGTGTTTACATGTAGTAGTAAAATGTTTATTAAAGTGTCACACGCACAACATGGACAATATATAACCGATGCACATAAGACAAAAGTGTCACACGCACAACATGTACAATATAAAACCGATGCACATAAGACAAAAGTGTCACACGCACAACATGTACAATATAAAACCGATGCACATAAGACAAAAGGTGTATGGAGTGCTTCCAGCCAGACATTGGCTAATGAGACACTTAATACAATATCAACAAAATCTATACATAATATATATAATGTGAGAGATGGGAAATTTAGCTACGAAATCAGAAGAATCACAGGAAACAACTCCTCGATTCAACAACGAAAGAAAAAGAAAGGATAGGTAGAGAGAGAGGTAATTTAATAATCATGGCGACGACTGCCGTCTCTTAAACATTTTAAAAAGCGTTGCGGCAGGCAATTTTTGTAAAACGTTTGAATTCATTAAGTGAATAAATTTATCTTCTTCGCATATCACATTAACATTTCGGTTGTTTTCTTCAGCTGCACAATATATATCATGGCGTAAATCTTCATAAAAACTGCATTTTAGTCAAAAATGATCATTCATCTTCCACCAAATCACAATTGCAATATTTACATAACCTCTCCGATAGTGGTATAGCAGGCTTGGAATATCTGCCTCTCTCAACAAACAAAGGTAAAATTCCACAGCTAAACTTGGCTAAAATAAAAATATTTTTAACATAGAAATCAACAGAAGGTGTACACTTATATTTTCTGTAGGTACGTAACTTATTTCCATTCACATTACCCGTATCATTCAAAAGCGAAGTGTGCCAATTAACTGCGTCATCTTGAAATAAAACGTTATTAATATACCTAACACAGCGTTTCACACCCCGTCTGATATCCAGTAAGTGAGTACAATTATACTGGTTCAAAAGGTTCATTATTTTACTATCCCAAGATGTGGTAAAACACCCAGACCATCGATGAATAATATTAGACGGGCGCTCTTGCTGCATAGATTTAATTCTGAAAAGATTTCTGAAACATTGCATTTTCTGAGTAACCAAAACTGAGCACCAGCCCATATACCCTCTACTTGCAAGAATAGGAGCATGCATATTTATTTAAACCAAGAAACATCCTGGCAGCCTTATTTTGCACAACCTCAACTTCTTTAACACTATGTGAGTCCCATATACTGGCACCATAAAGCAAACCAGCGATTTATACAACTTCTTAAAAACATCATATGACATTCCACCAGCATAACTATACATAGTGTACAGAGGGCGGAGTCCACTAATGCCGACAGTGACAAATGCCTACAGTCTAAAACAAACATTTATATGCTTCAGTTGTTTTACATGTGACACCCTGCTGTCTCTCTGCAGAGTTGAACTGGCCCATTTTAGTGTACTATTGCCTACAGTGACAAATGACAAAGTGGTGTGTGCAACCCAAGAGGGGGCTTTAGGGGTTGCTTATATAGAAGTTGGGAATTTTGAGATTTGGAATAGATGCCGATTGGGTTGGGGAGAAGAACTAAGGGAGCTGGGTATGGTGGCTGTTTGTTTGTTTATGTGATTTTGATTTGGTGGATTATTTTGTTTTTAGATGCGTTTTATTAGTTCCGTTTTGATTAAGAATACGCCTAAGGCCTTGAAGTTTTCTAGTTTATTTTGTGGGTTTAGTATTGCTTCTAGAGTGAGAGCCTTGTTTAGATTGAGGGTGGTTTGTAATGCGGTTCGATGTGTTAGGTGTGTGCAGTGGATGAGTGTGTGTTCAGGAGTTTCTAGTTGTTTGCAGTGTGTTTTTTTATTCTTATTAGGTGGTTATTTAGGTTGGTGTGTCCTGTTTGGAGTTTAGTGATTAGTCTGTCGATTTTTTTTGATGGATGGAGAATTTTTGGTTTGGTTAGTGGTTTCGTAAGTACTTTTTTGATTTGGCTATTTGAGTTTAGATATAGGTTATGCCATTTTCTGTGATTTTTTGCTTGTTTACACTTTTAATTTCTGATTTTGAGATGGGTAAGTTTAAGCTTATTTCTGGGATTTTGAGGGATAGTTTAGCTGCTTTATCGGCGTTTTCATTACCTTATATTCCTACGTGGGCGGGGATCCATAAGAATGTTATTTGTTTGCCAGCCTTAGTTAGGTCGTTGGAGCTTTTAAGTATTTGATTTAATAATTTAGGTCGTTTTTTTGTATTTTTGTTTTGGAGGGCTTGCAGTCCACTTAGGGAGTCGGTAAGTATTAGGATTTTTTTTTTTTTTTTGATTTTTGATTATGAAGGGCTGAGGCCATACCCATTAATTCTGCCGTGAATATTGATTGGTTGTTTGGGAGTCGGAAGGATTGTGTGGTTTTAGTTGGTTGTGGGGTATGGACTCCGAAACCTGTGTGTTTAGAGGTCGGATCTGAAGATCCGTCCGTGTAAATGTGACACCAATTTGGCCAATTTTCGTGTATGTATGCTAGTGTGGTGGTTTTAGCTATGTTTGGGTCGGTTTGTTTAT